AAAAAGCCTACTGAATATATATGCTTCCCAGACATCTCTTATTCATATCATTAGGGTTATTACCCAGCATTAAAGGAAATCTCCTCTACCGCATGTGCAGATCCCAATATACGATCAGTAACTGCAACCAACATGTCATCCACCTGCTTTCCTTATGCAGAAATATCTTGATTTCATTTTATCTTTGTTCAATTATTACAACTCATCAGAATTCTGACTAACACAGGCAATAACAAATCAGGTATTTGACCTGTAAGAGTCAAACTAACACTGTTCAGCAAGAAATAAAATGACTCCTGGAATCTAATGATTTTATTGCTTACCTTGGGTAGCCAATATTAATTTATGCATATTTAAATCACCAAATGTCTGCCCCTCACTTACTTAAAAAGGACTCTATTGACTCACCAACTCAGCACCTAATGGCTTTTCAGTCCTCCTGGAATTTTGCAGTGGGAAATGGGATGTTAAAAAGGAAAAATTCAAGCTTGTCATCCAAGATTCTCTAAAGTTAGTCCCTAATTAATTTTTTTCCTATCATTCTTTTTCAAGTGTTGTAAGCCCAGCCTATCTATGCTTTATGCATTTGACCAGAAAATATTTGCTTTTGAAGACACACAGCAAAACACACAGCAACTCGACAGTTCCTACAATTCACTGGCACTGACTGTAATCCTGGAGCTTTGTGTACTATGCCCTAGGCTACCAGAGCTCACAAGACAGTGAATGGACTGGGAAAAATGGTCTTCACCCCACTCAACATGTAAACCCTAAAATACCTGCCCTGCACACATATTCTAGTTTTCAGAGGTACATGCCTACAGAGTCGAGATAAAAATCTTTTAATAGCATTTTTACTTCATTGTAGTAATTTATTACTATTAATTTTTCTTATCTGAATGGTCATTTATTACCATCAAATGTTCTTATTTTAATAATTTATTACCATGAAATTCTCTTATTTTAATGTCATTTATTACCATCAATTTTTTATTTTAATAAAAGAACTGACAAAAACATTTGAATATTATAAATGGGTGTCTGGGCATGTGAACTGGCAAGCATTCATCCAGCTTTAACTCAATGTGGTTCGTTCATTAGGTCACTATTCACCCAACTAGTTGACACACATTGAAGAGAGAATACACTTCATTTTTCTTTTCAGAGCAAAGCTATAAGCAATTCGCCATCAGGAGGTGTCAGCTGAAAGAATCAGTTCCTCAAATCAATAATCAGAGCCAACTTGTCCATGGGCGGTTAGACCCCAGTGAGCGCATTCCCAGCACAGGACTTCCCCCAGGGTTAGCTGAGCAGTACTGTTGAGGGCCCACCGCCCTGTTTCCAGGCATCTGGGGCAGAAGCCGTAGCCCTGTGAGTTCCCACACAGTCTTGTCGTTGTTTTGGAAAGCTGTTCCAAGCTAACCATGTGAAAGTGAAGAACACTCCAGAAAGCCTTCTCTTTTTCTTGTATTTTGCACAGCGTGGAAGGACAGTCAACCAGAGAACCTATTCACACATGCTGGATTGTATGTGTGAGGCTCCAGGCAGCGTGGTAGATGGGAGGGAGGACTCTCCAGGCATTGTGGTAGAAGGGAGGGAGGACTCTCCAGGCAGCGTGGTCGATGGGAGGGAGGACTCTCCAGGCAGCATGGTCGATGGGAGGGAGGACTCTCCAGGCAGCGTGGTAGATGGGAGGGAGGACTATCCAGGCAGCATGGTCGATGGGAGGGAGGACTCTCCAGGCAGCGTGGTAGATGGGAGGGAGGACTCTCCAGGCATTGTGGTAGATGGGAGGGAGGACTCTCCAGGCA